CTGTAAAAGGGAAGTAAAGCAGCGAAGCACTTGCAATCGAGACCTAGCCCTTTCCTAGTGATGACAAGAGACCTTTTTACCAGAGCTTGTAGTGACAGAACAAGGGGCACTGGTTTTAAACTGAAACAGGGTAATATAGAGTGTATAGAAGGAAAGAATTTTTCTGTGACGAAGGGGGTGAGGCACTGTAACACGTTGCCCAGAGAAGTTGTGGACGCCTCATCATTACAACTGTTCAAGGCCAGGTTGGATGGGGTTTGAGCAACCTGATCTCGTGGACGGTGTCCCTGCCCATGGCGAGGGGGTGGACTAGATGATCTTTAAATGTCCCTTCCAACCCAAACCATTCTGTTCTATGACTGCCACCAAAATCAGGCCTTCACTGACATATGAAGGTAGAAACAGGCTTTCATAGGTTTTAAATGTCGATCCACTAGTGGTATCAGCAAAGTAAAGGAAAAGAAAGGCAGACTTCCTGAGGAGTCTTGTGATGGCTGAGAGCACCCTCTGCAGATTCAGGATTGAAATGGTTGGAGAGAGACCTGTACCGCTTGGCTTCAGAAAAGGAAACTTCAGTCACAGGCAGGGTGATCTGAGAGGAAAACTATGACAGCAGGAAGGTGAGTAGCTGTTCTGCTTGGCTACATTGATTTGTCCTGGATAAGCTTTGATTTTGTTAGGAGTCACCTGCTTCCAGCACTGGGAAGCTGGAAGGGCAGCTTCCAGGGCACCTCCTTCAGCCAGCGCTCTGCTGCAGGAGAGGTGACCTCTCAAAACAGGATTTATATGAGCTGTGACAAAGATAATGATGAGTACTATGTATTCTGTAAGCAATTTCTGTAGGAAATTATCACTACCAATGATAAGTTTAGATGAATTTCTTTTATGATGGAGTAAAATGAGGATTTTGAAAGCCCTCTTACTACTAGAAATTTATCTTAATATTTACTAGGACAAAAAAGTAGGTAGGAAAGAATGAAGACAAACAAATGGGGATTTCTTTCTTTTTCTTTCTTAGGAAAGACAATCCTAAGAGAGAATTAAGAGAGGGAACTAAACCATCACTCCAGTTATTCATTTTAAACAACTTCAAGCGCATTTGAAAAGAAGTTTCAGCATGCTCCCGAGAAATAACTCGTAACTGCATTGGTGCTGTGCCCACTACAGGTGCCAACTGAGCTGCAGTAACAATGGAAAAAATCAGAAAGTCAGACCAAGGAAGTGAAGAAACTTTGGCAATGATAGTGATTCGGTTTGTTTCATTTACTCAGAAAAATCATAGGCTTGAACCTGCCATGCTTGTTCTCCCACAGATTTTAAGAGCAATCAACTAAAATGTGCATGGTAAGAACATTTATCAGTTTATGCCTCATCCTCAGTACAGACAAGCTTGACATTGAATTTTCCAGCTGTTTCACATCTCTCTAATCAGTGAAACAAGCTCTGAATAAAAATAAATTATGAATAAAACCTGCATATTATTTTATGTGATTCTTGGGGGTGTAGAATTCATGTTAGCCCCTTCCAGCATGAAATTAGACCTGGTGTGCCTTTGTAGAGCTTCGAGCACACAATTCTCTGCTTCTCACTGCTGTAACATAAATATCAAACAATCGAAAAGAGACAAATGACAGATTTAAAAAAAAACGTACCTAGAAATAAATTATATGCATTTTGAAGATAAGAAAAAACCAGTCACAAACATTTCTTAGTAAGTGAAACAGTTTGGTGCCTGTAATGCATTAGCATAACAAAGTGGTCGACTTCAAGTGAAAATTTTTCCCATTTGTAAACTTGTTGATTCTGTCAGCTGAATACAGTTAATGGGCAATAAAGTGATGTATATTTGATCTCCTTTTTGATGTGCTGGTTTACATCTTTTACAGAGCTTCTAATAGGTTTTAATTTGTGGAAAATGGGTAAGACACAAAAATACAGTTACGAGACATAACACTGTTTTTTTATGAAAGCTGTCAGAAGTGGGCTATTCAATGCTTCTCCAAAGCTGATACATTTAAACTGTAAGAAGTAGATGACAGAGACATTTGATATTCACCTTAACAGGGTTTACTAACCTGGTAGGTAGACAGTAATGTTCATCCCTAGGAAGTCAGTGTGTGCATGGCTACGTATGTTCCAAACGCTTCAGTATCTACTATTCTTCCTATCAGACCCTCACTTTCAAAACAAGTTTACCCTTTTAAATAAAAAAAGCGTGAAGGACAGAAAAATCTTTTAAAATGCCTGCAGCAAACCGGAGTATTTTCATTTATGTACTGTTCGACTACCTAAGGTTATCTCAGATCTTAGTAATGGACTTTATAGGGAAAAATTCCTGCTCGTACTCAAGCAATCACCAGACAACATTCCTCTTATATGAAAATAATATACCTTTAATTTATTTACAAGACTGACCAACTGGATGAAGTGGCTGTACTTCAAATGCACTGCAAGAGCTTTCATTAGTGAACTATGTCACTATTGATATGTCTGTATTTTCTTGGTATCAGTTATAAAACATACAATCAAACAAATCACGAAAGGGTTGTGAAGAGTGAGATAAAAGGAATGTACACAGCAATTAGACAGAAGTTAAGAGAAAAAAACCCAATGAAAATCTTCCTATGCCCACTTTCAAATACGTAATTTTTAAAGGTGAAAGTTGTTTTTTTGCTATTTAGTAGACAATATGAATGGACTTATTTTTTGACTTAACGTTGACACCTACAGTAAAAGCCAGTATGTCTCAAATTTGCATGCTAGCTAGTAACATCTGTCAATTGTAGAAAAGTTTAATATATATCGAATTCTTCTGGGAGCTTCAATATCACTAAGTGGTGAAACGTGTATGACATCAAGATAAGAAAATATAATTATATTTCTTACCTTCTGGCCAGCCATTCGCAACAACAAATTAAGCAGCTGTTAATATTTTCTGTCATTTTATATCTCCCATAAAAGTGCATGTAAAAAATTTCACAGAGGTGCTAGGTAGCATACAATTACAAAAGAAAGTCTTGGTTTCTGATACATTCAATTTGCTAAATTTATGCACTAAAAGGAAAGATAAGATGCAGACACTGTGATATCAGTTCTTTATCTTTGGTAAAATGTTTCTGTTTTATTACAGCCATATTTGCTCTGATATCCATTTTGTGCATGGTCTGCTATTACTTAAATCAACAGGAAACATTTAAATGGATATAAACAGTATCAGTGAAATTTTTAGTACATTCATGACTTTCTTCATACATTCTTTAAGAATGTTGCTAGCATTTGGGGAAAATGAGCGAATGCTACTCTCTATTATGATTTACTCCTGGTTTAACATAATACTTTTCCTAGTTCTTGCCGTTGGGAAAAAATGTTTTGTTTTGCTTTTAAAAGAAAGGGATCAATATGACTCTAAGCACAATAAATTCTAAAAATCTGAAGTAAAAATATCAAGTATTTTGTACTTTCTTAGAAATGCTAAAATAGAAAACTACACTGGAACTGACTTAAGATTTGATACTATGACCCATCTAAGTAAACAACAAAAAAGGACCACAGAGAACAACAACAACTGCTCTAAGGTGTTCCAGTGACATCAGTAAGTGATCACTGTCTTTACTGTCTTAAAAAATCCATGTTTGACTCTCTCTCACCATTTTTATCAGTATTAAAAGAAAAAAAAAGAAAGAAAACTAGTTTTAAAGCAGCACTCTCCAGTGACAAGTCATACAGCAAATTCACATTGTGTTCATGGTGGTCTTTGTTACACTTGAACATATTAATGACGCAAACTTGATCGTATGAACCTAAGTTATACATACACAGTTATGCCTCCAAATAGCTACTAATTACGCTATATCAATTTGGCAAAGTGAGGGAGTTCAATATCCCTGCACCTGAAATATCCAGATGCTGCTGCATTCATGCAAAGAATGAGTTACAATACCACAGCTCATACATGGGGACCCTGAAACACTCAATTCCATCACAAAACCAATCTTTGCACATACTTTTTATATATGCAATTCAATATGAGCACTGGAAACCTTTGGAATCATGATTTTGATAGAGAGTAAGGTCTAAAATTTTTCTGAGTTCTTGTTTCAGGTCTTTTTGTTGTTGTTGTCTTTGTTATTTTACAAATAGACTGGCAAGCAGCTGATGGCAAGATACAGGCTTGGGTCTGTTCTGCTGGCTTCATTCAGACGAGTCATCCTCAGTCACACCAGCAGTGACACCGGACAAAACATAAAAAGAACTCACAGGGGGTAGGATCAAGCTTGTGGTGTCAATAAAAAAAAAAAAAAATTCACATTGTGTCTATGCTTGTATCTCAATTCTTCAACAGTTCATTCTTGGTTCTAGAAATAAAACCTGGGTAACAGTCAAAAATGCAAACACCACCATTCTGACCCATTCTTTGACACGATATTATTATTATTTTCAGTATCTCAGTAACATCAAGAACAAAAGAAATGTGAAGCTGCAATTCCTGTAGAAGCAAAGTCTGATATTCCAATGATTTCCAATGAACATGGCACTTTTGAATTTAAATTAAGTTTAAATTTCAAACTCCAAATTAACTAACAAGACTCTTTATAAGGGTATAATGAAAAACAGCCCCTGAAGAGCATAATGATTTAAAAAAAAATTATTTATTATTAGAAAGTGATAAAAAAGGAAGATGCAGGAATGGGGAGTGGAGTAATACCGTTTCAATACATGTATTTGCACCAGTGAAATCCTGCTCTCAGGGAGTCACTGATAGCTCTGTCGCCGATGACTTCTGGCCTTCACCCATGTACAAATGTAGTAAGCCACTTCCCACTGCTGCGGTGCCCACATAGATGCAACACACACACATTAAAACGCAAAAAAAACCACCTCAGTGCCTGACTGTCCTGGATGCTGAGCACCCTCAGCTCCCGACAGGCCTCTCAGTCTCAATCAAAGCATGATCCTGACAATAATTTAGTGGTCAAAGTCTTAGGAATTTAAAGAGCCTGTCACTTTTTTGCTTTCTTTGCTTTTTTCAGTATATCACACTTTTTTCTGTTAGGACGCCGGCATCTTTCGTCAATGCTCGGTATACATTCATAATGCCATACTTCTTCCATTTTCTCCACGGGGTAAACTGCCTCCACGTAATGACGGATCAGTCTCAGTCTGATAGGATCAAGCTGTTTTTTGTTACAAGCACCTGAATGGTTGTATTGCAGTCTGAGATTCTCCGCATGGAAAGAGTCTTACGAGAAGCCTGGCAGCAAAGTTGCCGACTGACAGGCTCTGCTGCACTATCTCTCTTACCTCCTTATCAGACAGCAAATACAGAGAAGGCACTGGGAAGTCTGGATTAGGAACAACAAGTTCATCAAGTGGTATCTTGCAAAAATCCTTGCTGCTTCTTTCTGGTGGCAGTGGCGGCCCTTCGAATTCTTCTCGAAACCTCTCGGGGTTTATTGCATAGCTGAGAAATTCCCTCCTGTCGGGCCCCGGCACGTGGATTTTCCGTTGCTGTTGGTAGGAGCGCCTTTGCTCCGTGTCTCTTCGTCGACATCTCTCGTCAAGCTTCCCAACAAACTCCAATGTCCACACTCTGTCATTCTTTGCTCTGGGGTACAGTATCTGCACATAATGTCGTATTAATTTAATTCTAGTGGGGTCGAGCTGTTTCTTGCCTAAAGACCCGCTACAGTTGTACTGTTTCCGTAAGTTTTCGTGAGTAAACAGTTCAGGAAATAAGAGAACAAGCAATCGAGAGGCAAAGTTGCCTATGGAAAGACTGCTCTCATATATGCTTTTAATCTGTTCTTTGTTCAACAGGTAATCTGGGACAGGGACATCAAAATCGGGAGGGGGAAAGTCAAGTTTGTCAAAGTCTATGGGTACAAGCCAAATTTTTTTGGAGCGCCTGCCAGGTTTTTCATATTCAAAACTGTCTTCCACTTTTATGATTGACAGATCATCGGGTAAACTAGAAGAATCGTAACAGTCATCTCTCATCTGATCGCATTCACTCCCATCCATATACGTATTTTCAAGCTCATCATTTATTCGCTGAACACATTGCTGCAACCAGGCTTCTTCTTCTTGCACATCTGGAAAGTAAATTTCAGTGTACCTACGGATTATTTGAAGCCTATGAGGATCCAGCAGTTGTTTTCCAGAGTCTCCAAAGCAGCTGTACCTTTCCGCTAATTTTCTGTGGTCAAAGAGTTCCGGAAACAATCTGTGTAACAAAAAAACAGAAAACTCCCCTGGAGAAGAAGCTTCATCTAAAAATTCATTGAGATCCTGAGCATCCAGCATGTAATCTGAGGCAATGGCATTACTCCGGTCCAAGGACAAAGCTTCCTCCTGCTCTTTATCCTCCATAAAATGAGAGGATTCGACCTGCTCAGTCTCATAAAAACTGGACGATTGCACATTCTGCTGACTGTTTTCCATTTCCCTTTGAGCCCAAAATCTATTGAAAAAATCATTGACTTGAGGCAAACACTCCACCTGCCACACAGTTGTATTCTTCACAGAAGGATAACAAACTTCCACGTAGTTACGGATAAGCTGCAGATGAAGAGATTCAAGTTTCCTTTTGTTGAGAAAGCCGCATGCACTGCAGCTTCTGCTGAACTCATCGTCGCTGAAGAGCTCTGGGAAGAGCTGCACTAGCAACCGGCAAGCTAAGTCTCCGCCTGACGTGCTCTGATCCATGATTTGTTTGAGCTCCGCAGAAGTCAGCTGGTACTCCGGGGGAGGCTTGAAGTCTGCAACGGACTCTGCTGGACTGACTTGCTTTTTAATTCTGCTCACCTCCAGAGACAACAGGTCAACTTTACTGTGAAGCTGAGTCATATTGGTATTGAGGGTGTTAAGCGTGTAAAACATTTTCTGTATCAAAGAATATATATTTGGGTCGGAATCTGCGGTGGCCGCTGTTACGGCAACGGCTGCAGCCGAGTCCCTTTTGCGTTGATCGTTCAAAGTCCGAAGATGCGAAGGACTGCTGGGGTTGATTTTTTCAAACAACTCATAAGAAGCAAACTGCTCTGCTCCTGGTGGGTTCTTCTTCTCCGTGATTTTGTGTGAGATGCCGTAGAGAGGTTTTTTATAAGATGGAGTGGTTACGTCACTGAAGGATTCTTCTTCACAGAGCCACGTTACATTAGGATTCTTGTTCTTGTTTGGCTGCTCTGCATTTACCTGAGTGGGTGAGCCAGTATCTCTGTTCTTCATGTTTGAAAGGGGGCCCTTGGAATGAATAAATATTGTATTAGTAAGAGTGCCTTAAAAACATTAGCTACAAATATTGTGCCCCTTAAGCAGGCGTTGTTACATAAATATGCAAAGTCAAATTTTCTCGAGTACTTAGTTGTGTTAAATACATCAAAATTAATAAATTCACTAGGAAAAAAAAAATACAGTGAAGCATTACTTAGAGTTTTTTTGTTTTAGCTCATGGCTTTCTCCATGGAATAGAAATGCAATAATAATCCTTAGTACTCTTTACCCACAGAGCTCTAAATACGCTCCCAAATTAAGTATCAATATGCCTCACCTTGCATATGAGGATCTTGGGCTGTAGAGAATTTGGGTGGCAACAAGTCAGCAACAGAGCCAAGAATAGAATCTAGATTTTCTGACTCCTAGTCCTGTGACCTTGCCACTGCCTCCTTTAATGTTCCAGCATTCTCTTTACGTTAGCTTTGGAAAATACCACAAAGGCTATAAGACACCAAAATTATGCCCATTCTCTTCTTTCTGATGTGAGAGGTTTATATAGTTTTTTTTTTTAATTTTTATAATGGTGTACAACTCCTAAACAAGTTCTAAGAATGACTGTAATTTTTAAAAAAGTATTCTATTTAAATAAGAAAATCTTAAAAATAAAGTGAAAAGTACCTCGGTATTTTCTTTTAAAAAAGGAAAGCCTAATATTTCTTTATTTCTGAAAGGCAGGGAACTTTAGACTCCTGGGTTTCTAATCTTCTAATTATTTATATAAAAACCAGTAATGAGCTCTCAAGGAATTAATGTTCTCAATAATTTCTAACTCTTCCTCATTGCTTGAAATTGGAAGTAAGCATTTTCATCAAATGGCAGCAAATATGAAGGGCTTGGGTGGGTTGGGCTTTTTTGCAAACACATGGATATTGCAAATAATTCTTAGGAAGTTAAGTAGATAAAACAGAATCAAAATCCAACATACAGAATTCAAACATGAGAAAACACAGATTTTCGAGAAGACTGTACTGAAACATTTTGCTTGGCTCATTCTACAGAACATTAATTAGATAAACATCACAGAATGTGCATTCAAGTATTTAAACAAATGGGACACAGACTTGAAGTCTGAGCTGAAAGACACAAGCAATTTGAAATTCTAGTGAAGACCCCGCTAAGTTCTACAGTAAGGAACTTGAATCGAAACTCCTTTCTGAAAAACAGAACTTTAACACTCATGAAATTAATCTGGTCCCTATCTGTACTCACACTTGGCATCTGCTTACTGCAGTGACAAATTGAATCTAATTACTTTTTAATTTCTAATGCAATGCATACTCAAAAGAGGCTCAAAAAGAACACGCTGGTTTCCACTCCAAGTTTAGAAACCAGCAGACTCAATTAAATTGAATTTGTATTTCCAAGTTGTGCTCTCATTCACATCATACAACCCTACAAATGAAGCCTTGTGTTTACACATCCAAAGCTGTGTGGACGGACAGATGATAAAATGAAAGCATAACGCAATATATTTCGCAGTATGCAGAATCCCGAGCCATGGTGGTGCTTAGGACATCTGACTTCCAGGTCTCATTTAGAAAACTGTCCCTCCAGTCCCCTCATATTAAAGCACATTTGCTATGAGGACAGCAAGGAATCAGAGTCCTGTAACACCACCAGCTATTAAAGGGTGACTTTTACCTCAGCAAGTGGCACGATATACCCCAACTAAATCTGCTCTTTATGACTTGTAAAATACCAGAACACAAGAGACCCAACTGTGAGCAGACTGTGATGCAGATTACTCCCACCAAACTCCTGGCTCCTACACCAGGACTGAAGTCGTCATACACCACGTATACTTGTCAGTGGAGAAGCAGAGGTATTTTCAGATGATAACTCAGCTTTAGACATCACCTGAAAGCAGGTCATGAAAATCTCCACCAACAATAAACATAGTTCTGCTTCCCAGTCAGACACTCAGACAGAATTACAAATTTCTTTTACCATTTTCGACGGAAAGAACAAAACGAAACTGCAATTCTGGAAAATACATTTCTTAGAGATACGAGACCTGCTACCCAAGTAGCTAGCTCTTCCATTAACACTCTTGTTTACAGAGAATATTCCAAACTTTCCTTCACATACAGACTATGATTCATTCAATTTCTTCTCTACTAAATAGCTTGCAACAGGCCACCAGTTGTCTGTCAGTTCTTGTCAGAACTCCTGCCGTAACTTTTCCCTAATTAATTATGTAATAAAACTTGGTAATGTGGGGGTAACTTCTATTAATGCACACCTCACACAGAGCTAGGGCAAAGCAATATTAGAATGTGTACTAAACAGCACAAATTCATTGTCTTAAGTATCTTATCGCACTTTGACAGTGAGTACCGTGAAACTTTGCCTTCTCAGTTTTGGACACGGTGCTCTGGAAGAGGAGAAGTGTTCACGCTAAGAACTACAGCCGACCTCTGCTGCGGCGGCAGCAGAACTTCTGCCCTTTCACTAACACAGTTCACAGTGTCTGGATCTGGCTGCAGGACAGATCTGGTTATCTGCATTTCAGAAACATAGTCAATGTTTGACTAACAGCTGACAACACATTTGGGCCTAAATTTAAGGATTTTCTATTTCAGACGCATTTTCATTTTCTTTCCTTTTGCTTTTAATTATCTTGTCTTTATGCAGTTTCCATCTGGGAACAGCACTATGCACAGCATAAATACATGGCTTTTTGTAAATTCTCCAATTAAACTACTATTTAGTATTTTTAGTTTTCTGCAAAACTGATCTTTAAACATCAATGTATTTCAGATAATACTACACCCATTTGAGATGACCAGTTTTAATGTATCAATAGAAAATAAAAAAAGATATTATTCTATGAGACTCAAAGTACATAAGATGGTGCTGCTTTTTATATTATATTTGCACAGCAAGTTTTTATATTATATACATTCTTTGAACATTTGCAAAATGCAGTATTTTGGTAAACATCAACCAATACAAGTAATTGTGAAACAGTCTGTCACATTATCGCCAGCAGTCCTAAGCCAAGTTTTAGAAGTTGTTTAGTTATTGCTCTGTTCAGTGCTAAAGTCTAGCTAATTTACGACCTTTATTATGCTTAATAAACAAAGTCTAAATATCTGTAAAAATATACAGCATAATATTCTAGCATATGAGTAAAGAGAATAAATATATGAGCAAGAAAGACACAAAACTATTTTATCAAACACATGAGAACTTGGGAATGTCTTGCACATTTTAAGATTTTTAAACTTACAAACCTCTACACCTTTTTTTAAAAAAGAAAATTAAGGAAAATGAATTTATGGTTATGAAGTGACAAGCAGAATTTAAAAAAAAGCTAAACGTCTTCTGATAGAAAGTAATTTAGTAATATAATCACCAGTCCAAGAGTACAGTTATATAACATAAAAAGTACAGCTCTGCTTGTATCATACATAGATGCCTATGTGATATGTAGCAAAAATATACTACAAGCACAATATTCTCAAAAATAATTAAGATTTTGCCTCTGTTTAAACAGAAATAGTTAATGAAGTCATCAACTAAAAATACTGGCACTAGAAAAGTAATTAACTTTAAAAATGCTGTTAGGACTGAGAACTATTTCTGCTTGGTTATTTAACTAAACATGCTGATTCATTTGGGTCAATCAAGAATGACTTTTCATCATTGTTACTGGGTCACTTTCTGATATTATAAGTCCAAAGTTATAATTAATTTCAAATTAAATCTAAAAATTATTAAAGGCAAACAGCAATCAGTAAAATCCAAAGCAAGCACAGTTCAGACACCATTATGAAGCTCTTTTAAGCATGTGAATGTAAGTAAAACAATTGTAAAAAGAAAAAAGAAAATAAAGAAACTGTGTAATAAGATTAAAACCTACCTACCACAGGCATTCAGGGAAAAAAACAGCCCCGAGAAGTCAGAGAGATGACAGTCAAGAAAAAGAAATATGAAGAGCTATGGCTAGAAAGGAGAAATGAAATGCACAAATACAGCACGGAATAACTGGCTAGGTAGCAGAACAGCAGAAAAGGATATGTGCATTAGAGTAGGTCATAAACTAAATATAACTCAGGGCCTGAAGTTATTCAAAAGAGGATGAATTTGAATCTAGGTTATTTTAATAAAGTGCTGAGTGTGAAAAACAGGAGGTCATTATACTGCTCTAGAGGGTGTTAGGAGAGAAGTGACTATCCAACACTGGACACTACTCTTTCAGGAATCTCAAAGAGAACAACAACAATATAAGGTGATTCCTGAAGAAGAGCTGAAAAAAGAGAATTTTAGTCTTGGAAAGGAAGAACTGAGGGTGGACAACATCACACCAACTTTCCCATGTGCAGAAGACTTTTCTAGGAACAGATGGTCACTGCTCTCCCTACTGAAAAGAACAAGGACAAAAAGAAACTTGCTCAGTTTCAGCAAAGATTAATTAAAATCTCCAATTGCTAGAGAGGTGAAACACCAGAACAGGATAACAGAAGAGACCAGGCATCTCCTTCACCGGCTGGACAAACAGCAGGATTGTCACAAGTGGGATGCTGAACCAGAAGTTTTAATACATTCTGCTCTTGATATGCTGAAGTCTTCTGCATCCCTGCATTTTTATCTTTCAAGTAATATACAAATTTATGCTTGTCTCACTGACATCAAAATCTGTGTCACAGAAGGGAGAATTACAGTCCTGATTCTACCACTGAGGATCCAGCTGAGGGACTGTGTGACATGAGACGGGCTGTAATCAGAGTCATGCTCAGTTAATCCAAATCACTACCTGCTCCTACGTTCTCTGACAAACAACGAAAATATACTTCACATGAATGAAGTAACCTTAAGTGTATTTCACAGATATGATCCCTCCCCCGTTATTTAAAGAAATACCCAGACAAGTAATGTGTGCGCACTGAGTTAAGATGAGCCATATTTGACTCAAACTCGTTACTAATGCAAATCTAGTTACATGACTTGCATTTTGCTCACAGCAGCAATGAATTTAGCCTATGAAACATGAACAGAAAAATCACAGTATAGAGAAGTCACCTCTTGTGTAAAGCGTCTTTTCTTCACACTGGGTAAGACATCTTGCTGGCTCCCTGAACCATCACAACCAAGTGAGGTCTGTTTCCGTTTGTTGGAATCCTGTAGGCAAGTAACTGCGCCATCCAGTGAGTGTTTCTCAGCAGATCTGGATGTTACCGAGCAGTCTAGAGCTTCATCTTCATTATCTGTTTCTACTTTCACAATATTTTTTTTCGGAATTTTTACTGGAAAAAGAGGAGGTTTAGAAAGATAAAGCACTCATTACACTCTTAATGCAATCTTTTGTGGTTTGTTTCTTTTTATGAAAATGTGTTTTGAAGAACATCATTATTTTTTATGACTTGTACGGTAAGTATATGCTGAGGCCGCCCCAAAGTCAAGTTTTTGTTATGCTAGGAACCATTCAGGCATCCAGTAAACGACAGTTTTCTTCCCTAAAGAGCAGTCTGAACAAATAAAGCTACAGTGGGAAGATTTTTTTTGAGGGGGAGGAAGGATGTGGAGCAGAAAATATGAGTAACAAAGATAACTGTGTTTTAGACACCTTTTTAAAAAGCATTAATGTAATTTGTCTTGATTCAAGCACATTCTTTATCACGTTACAAAGGCTTTCATTCAACAACTATTTTTGCCTGACCATAAATTATACAAAGTATAACATTTTACCTTCATCATCATCAGTGATTTCAGCTGAATTCATCTTCTATTTCACTAAAGAACAAAACAAAACCACAAAAATAAGTATCAGCATCTTCTGGAATCAGGAAATACCTACATCTGTTTTAATAATTACTTTAATCTAGAGCCATTGGGCATTAACAGCCCACAGATAATTTCCAATCTGTACATCTGCAGAACCTAGCTATTTTCAGTAAATTTCATGACCATCTATAGCCCTGTTAACATGCAAATATACTGCGGACTACCTATGACAGCCAGGAATGTATTTAAAACTGTATGTCTTTTTCTGGCATGGAGAAAAGTAAAAGTAATTTTAACCTTCTCTATAAAGTATCTTGGCAGTATATAAATAGAAGTTAACTGTATTAAACTCTCCATCCTGTACCAATTCACTACTTCTTATTATAGTAGAATGTTTTTATATTGTCATTGTGGGTGACCCAAAGTCATCTCAGAAGGAAAACTCATCGCAAACTGGAATGTATATGCTGGAGTAAGTTTTCATTTAAAAATCTTTGATCTTTTGATATGGATTGCATCAATTCAACCAGAGCAATCGGTAGATCTACCGTAACTACTTTTTTCGTAACTGTCAGCCTCTAAATAATGTAAGAATGTTTTTTGTAAGCAAAATCAAATATATGTATTATTCTAGTATGATTTTAGCACTACTTCTAACCTGAAAGACTCAGTTGTATTTCTATTTCCTTGAAAACTAATTTTGCAAATTACTTCAGGGCAAACATCAACCTGTGGACATGTTCCTCAAAGATACTCTAAATCTTTTGAAGGTCTACAAAGCAAACAAATTCATCAGATCTCACTGACCGTTACAGGGGACACGGCTGCAAACTGACACTCTCAATTGGCAAGATGGTGACTGTCACGCATCGCTCATGTTCATCTACAGACAGCATTATGTTCACTTCATCCCAGAATATTACTGATTTACATTTTCCACGGTTAAATTCTTCTTTCAAATAGCTTTCTTTCAATTGTTGCTGCCTATCCTTTAGCCAAAATCTGAAATCAAGGCAAGCTTCTTTCTGGCTGGAGCAAATGAATAAAGCAACTGGTCAATCAAAAGTGTACGTACAGCCCAGGAGTGGAAATTATACCAAAATTTAAAAGGGAGATGAGGAGAGAAAGAGAGAGGGAATCTGTTTTGGAGGGGGGGAGAAAGTCTCTACCTTACTTTTGAATACTGTTAAGAAACTCTGCAAACACTTGAACACTGTGTAGTTATGAATTTTTCTTCATCAGTAACCAATGGCTGTTAATGGTAAGTATGAGATCCCATTCAGAGCAAGATTTTGTACAATTGCACGTACATCCAAAGAAAAGATGCATGGGGTTATAAAATCACCTCATACCAGGCCACTCTAGAAGCCAAAATATCCTCTGATGTGCTGATCTTCAACATGACCTCTACATACAGCCTTATAAAAGGCATTCTTAGGAGAATAACGTGAGATTGTCTTCATCATCAAGTCATCAGAAGAAGTCTCTCTCACTTGGATGTAGAGCTACTACGAACCCCTTAGATACCTACTCCTTTTACCCACCATAATCCCCTATTTCAGGACTTTCTTTTATTCATTGATCCACATATAAATTATGCCAGTTTATAATCACTTCACTTAAATTTTTGCAAACTCTGTAGAGACCTAACAGCATGAAACATAAGCGGCCCACAGCAACTTCAAAACCATGCGATAAGCACTGGTGAGCATTAATACCCAGTCTTACTGACTCAACATTATTTATGAATTTAGACACAGTCACTATTAGCTCTTTATGAAAAATTCTAAGACAACGTGCTTTGTACAGTACCATCAAAAAGCCACATTGCACCTTAAGAAAAGCACATAGTACTAAATGTTCGTATTTTGCCCTGATATCCCAGATACATTGACATTCACTTTGCAGATCTTTCTTACGCTTTTCCACACTGCACTAGGCTTAGCTTTGAGGGATGTGGTACAAAACCAATACATGTGAGCACTCAAGAAGTGTGACACGGAATCTTTTTGTGAGGGCCTGAGGTGACAGTAGGCAAATCAGCCAATATCACTACAGAATATTCTGCAATGGAAATCAAAATGGTTTTCCAGATAATCCTAGACTGTTCTATTAGAGCAAAACACTTTAAGATGGTAAACACAGAGTCAGAAGGGAAGAATATAAAGGTGGCGGTGGGAAGGGAACGACACAAAATATTTAGGAGGGGATATAGGGAATTACATTTTCCTTCTAACTCCTGCTACTACTGCTATTCAAATAGGAAGATTGCTTCACGAGAATTCCCCTGAAGGAACACAAGGAAACTGGAAGGAGAAAATAAATGAGGATTTGAATAGCCACTCTTTAAAACTGGAAAAAGTGAAAACTAAAGCGTATACCCTGGTTAACTTTCTAAAGGATGCAACAGCAGGAAGACCAAAGCTATCCCAAACTTAGGTCAAATTATATTAAGTCAAAACACTGTTTCACCTATGTGAAGCAAGGTGTCATCACTTATTTTGAAATTTTTTTTTTTCCAAAACTGCCAGAATATAATTAAAAGCAAGTAGTCCAAAGAGCACCAGAATCAACGAGGCTGGAAATATTGGGGTTTGTGTTTGAACTCTTTGGTGCCAAACAAAGCACGAGCCCCACCCTTTTCATTTTTGGGAGCCCTGGTAATATCTCTCTAGTTATCTGGTTTCCTGTCTTCTTTGTGAGATCTGTAAGAATTCAGGTATTATGAGAAAATGAAGAACATACAACAGCTTCTGTCAAGAGACAGGAGTCAACTGCCCCTCTGATTTCCTGCCTCATAGTCCCACCTGCTCCCTCAGTCAAGCATGGGTGCCCACCTTAACCTTCAGTGAGCTGTTCCAGCTTGATAAACTCACAGAAAACAACTCACTTCTTTCTTTGCCGGGTTACTTTTCGTCTAATTCAGAGAGGTAAATTTTAAGGCCCAGCTCAGGAGCATTCATGAGGTTTGGGAAGGAAAGGAGTCATTAAAATGTGTCTCATACCAGAGAACCAATGGTTCAAACATTTCATGAAACTTCACTCATCATCTATTAACATCACCATCTTTCTTCAAATGTGGGTTGCAATGGACTCACAAGTGAGTACTGAGCAGACACAGATATGAAGAGAGCAACTGTATCATTGCTTCCATAAGAAATGAGGTCCTATGGGAAGGGGGAAGCCTGCATGTGTGCGTGTGTATATCCATCCATGCATGTATGCCTGTCTATGTAAGGTTAACAATAATTTTGTTGATTGTTTAAAGTCTGCTAAAGATAGAACATTTCAGAGTCTTTAAAACATTGTTTGCAGTGAATCAGTACTTATGAATAATAATTATTGCCTCTGTAGAAGAGGCAGCAGTGTCAAAATGTTTTGAGGTAGCATTCTGCCCCAGACTGTGAGAATAAACAAAGCTGGTGAAAAAAAGACCTGAAAGAACTTGGAACAAAATAGTGCAAAAAGCAATTGAGTAAGAAATCCATCCAGTAAAGCAAACACCTGACAGTTGTTCCTTGTCATGTTGACATTCTTCGTACTTCATACTTCATTCTTACCTTATATGTATTTTTTCAAAACAGAAGATAAATATATTTATCATCCCTAGCCTAATACTGACTCAATGCTATCCACAGGACAGCAGTTGCCTAGTTCTAGGAAGGGGTTGACACGCTGTGCTGAAGTTGGGAGCCCAGGTCTGCAGCCGTGACCGGCAGAGCAACCAGCCTTGGCAGCTTTATTTTGCTGGGGTACAGACGCATGCTGCAGTACATCCTACCTTCTGACGAAAACGGATCTGGAAGGAGGATTCCAAAACATACCAAACACCTACAGCAGCAGGTGCATCAACAGCCAGATCCTGATCCTAATGAAGTTGATTAGTGCTGTAGCCTAAGCACCCAGATCTATAAATTTTAGCTGAAACTTCTTGTACTTCCACCTGAACTGGCCAAAAAAATCATGCTTTACAAAACATGAACATAAACCTTAATCTTTGAGTTTTAGGATTTTGCTTGTAAATATTTTGATTTGTGAACCAAGTTATTTTAGAAGCATTTTCTCTGGGTTCTTTGGTTTCTATTTTGTGTATAAATTCCAAAGAAAGTGCGAACAGCTCAGAAACATCTAACAAAACAGGGCTGCAATATGTAAACTAATACACTATTTCTCTATGCTTATGCTGAAACATGGGTAAAACAGAAAGAATAACCCTTACATGGTTATGGATCTTACACCTCTGAACACTAAAAATGAAGCAGATAGCTAATATTCTCACTTTTTCTTCAAAAGAGATTCTGCTTTTGATTAATGGCAGTCTGCTAAACCGGTCTAATGTAGGATAAAGAGGAAGACATGCAGCACTTGGACAAATTCAACAGTCAAGGCAGAAGCAAACGGGTCCCATCCTCACAATGTGAACAATAAATCATTAGATTTTACTGCCTATGTTTCATCTAGTGAGACAGGTCTTCTAGAAAACAGTATGTAGAATCATAGAATCGTAGAATCATAGAATCATAGAATCATAGAATGGTTAGGGCTGGAAGGGACCTTCAAAGGTCATCTAGTCCAACCCCCCTGCAAGGAACAGGGATATCTCCAACTAGATCAGGTTGCTCAGGGCCTCGTCCAACCTGGCCTTGAACATCTCCAGGGATGGAGCATGTAGTTTATAATTTCTACGTAATCAATGTCTCAAAAAAAACACCTTGCTGATTTATCAGCACGTACTCACCCTCGCTCATCTAAACTGCCTTGATAGCTGCTAGTGCTGGTACCGTACAGACACCTGTGCTGAGCCACTGCTAGGTGTCACGCAACAGAGCCTGTGAGATGCCTGTGAAGACACAAACATTCCTCTTGGCTCAGTCCTTCAGACTCACCCACACATCCTAACACTTCTAAAACATTTAAAAAAGATGAACCAAAAAGAATGGTTTTCTTGAGGTGATTAAAGCTCTGTTCTTCTAAGAGACGTGAATAAAAATACCTAAA